GTCACGCAATTGGACTAGCGTGTGAGTTCGATGCAGTTGTGAGTGTAACACAAACATATAAGTTGGTCGTAAGAGTTTACAGTGGTTCTGTAATTATTCGATTCACACACATACACACACATCCCCGTTACAACTACCACCATCACACACTGACCACACACACACACACACACACACACACACACACAAACAGACCACAAAACCACTCACACGCGCCACACAAATAATCCATCAATCCTAAAAAGCCATCCAAAACTCTCCCCAGATAGACAGATCAGGTCTATGTTCTTGTCCCATAGATGCCATGCGGTCATGTAATTTATCTTTATGTCTCAATGCCGTTTAGGAGCAAGTGAAAAAAGGCAGAGGCAGGAATAGATCATTATGGTCCTGAGTGAATGGTAGAGCTGGAAGTGACCAGGGGATCTGTTCGACACTTTACACTAACCAGGGGATCTGTTCGACACTCTACACTACACTCACCAGGGGATATGGTGACACTCTACACTCACCAGGCGATCAGGTCGACACTCTGCAGTAACTGGGGATCTGGTGACACTCTACACTCACAGGGGAATCTGGTCAATACTCTACACTCACCAGGGGATCTGATCGACACTCTTCACTCACCAGGGGATCTGGTCGACACTCTACACTCACAGGGGATCTGGTCGACACTCTACACTCACAGAGGATCTGGTCGACACTCTACACTCACGAGGGGATCTGGTCGCTCACCAGAGGATCTGGTCAACACTCTACACTCACCAGGGGATCTGGTCAACACTCTACACTCACCAGGGGATCTGGTCAACACTCTACACTCACCAGGGGATCTGGTCAACACTCTACACTCACCAGGGGATCTGGTCAACACTCTTCACTCACCATTGGATCTGGTCGACACTCTACACTCACCAGAGGATCTGGTCGACACTCTTCACTCACTAGGGGATCTGGTCGACACTCTACACTCACCAGAGGATCTGGTCGACACTCTACACTCACCAGAGGATCTGGTCGACACTCTACACTCACCAGGGGATCTAGTCAACACTCTACACTCACCAGGTGATCTAGTCAACACTCTACACTCACCAGAATATCTAGTCAACATTCTACACTGGGGATCTGGTCGACACTCTACACTCACCTGGGGATCTGGTCGACACTCTACACTCACTGGGGATCTGGTCGACACTCTACACTCACTGGGGATCTGGTCGACACTCTACACTCACTGGGGATCTGGTCGACACTCTACACTCACCTGGGGATCTGGTCGACACTCTACACTCACTGGGGATCTGGTCGACACTCTACACTCACCTGGGGATCTGGTCGACACTCTACACTCACTGGGGATCTGGTGACCAAAGACACCAAAGGCTGTAGCCAAAGCTGCTGCCCCACCCAAAGCTGATGCTGGTATAGTCAAGGCTGAAGGAATGGCACTAAGGGTAAAGAAGTCTGTTGTTCGCGCAACTCATAAAGGACACCTGTCCGCTTCCGCTGGCCCAAAACACTGAAGCTGCCCAATGCTCATAAATATCCCCGTAAACGTGGCAATAAGACTAACAAGCTGCTTGACCTGTCCTGACTGATCAAGTATCCATTGACCACTGCGTCTGCCATGAAGAAGATTGAATATAATAACATCCTTATCTTCATTGTTTTCTTCTTTATGGAGCAGAATGCTGGAGAATGACCACAAAGGATGCACACAAGCTATCCACCACACATGTCTACGTAGAATTATCAAACATTTCTGGCCAGATACAATCTCAAATACTAAACTGCTTCAAGTCACAAACCAAGAAACTCTAGACAGTATGATAACCAAGAGAAGATGGAAATGGCTTGGCCACGTTATGAGAATGAATCCTGATATACCTGCCAAAACAGCTCTCACATGAACACCAGAAGGAAAGACTGACTGACTGACTTTCTACCCCACTAGGACATCACACAAGCGATAAACACCCGATGACACAAAGTGCCACCATGTGGATGAGGATCGCCGTGGAGAGGTCCCAGAAACCGCGTTCAGACAATTGGCAATATTTATGGCCTGCCTATATTGCGGCCCCTGGCAAAAGCCAGTGTGGGGCTTCAGATAACAAAAAATGTCATCCTAAAAAGGACGAAACAATATAGAAGGAAAGAGAAAGAAGGAGCGCCCAAAACGACATGGAGACGAACAATGGAATGTGACTTGAATGCGGCATCTCTGACATGGAAAACTGCACTGAAAATTGCACAGGACAGGAAAGCATAGAAAGTCCTCTATGAAGCCTTATGTGCCACTAGGCGTAAAGAGAATTGATGATAATGATTATCTTCATTGTTGACAAGCGCGCCAACAAGCCAATAATCAAGATGGCAGTCAAGAAATTTTACGATGTTGAATAAAAGAAAGCCTATGTAGGGATAGTTCCTGATTCTGATGCATTAAACATTGCTAACAAGATTGACATCATCTGAATATGATTAGTTTAATTCAATAAACTTTCTTTAAAAAAAAATTATGAAGGCTATTTAGCAGCAAAGTTCACTTATCATTTGTGTTAAGACTTGTTCTACTTTTCATTTGGCTTGATATCTTTTCAGAAATGGTGGAATTTGTTTGACTGATTGACGGTTCGCAACATTACAATCTGGCACCGGAGATAAGGAAATATAGGCTGCCAGTGAGACAGAACATATCACCGTCTGGTTCCGCTCCATATGGGAATTTGCCTTTCATATTCACATAACTAGGGTCTGGTTGGGCTGTATCCATAATAATGCTGATCTAAATGCTGTCATTATACTGACTGCTTGTATTAATGATTTGTCAGTGGTTGGGAACTGTAGTGGTGTATTTCTAGTCACTAGGGTGTGTGTTAGAGACTAGATTTATGTATCTCTTTCTCTCTACCTCTTTCCTCTCTGCTTCTGTCTGTTTGTCTGTCTGTCTGTCTGTCTCCCTTCTACTATTCATCTCTCTTTAATTCTATTTTCCCCCTCTCTCCTTCCCTCTTTCTACCCTCCCTCCCTCTCTCTCTTCCTCTTTCCCTCTCTACTTCTCTCTCTTTCCCGCTTCTCCATTTCTCGTCATCTCCCTCTCCCCCTATCTCTTTCTCTCACCTCTTCTTCTTTCTCCTTCTGTATCTCTGATCTTGATCTTCACTCTGCTTCTTTTTTTGTCAAATAGACATAACAACTAGGTGACAACTAGCAAGCACAATGGTCAAATGGACAAAGGGAAAATAACGCCTGTAAAGCTAAGAAATCACACCACAGCATTCTCATAAGCTTCTTCTTCTTTTTTTTTTTTTTTTTGTTCGCTTGAAATAGATTATCTAAATCAGTAATGGTGTCTCTAGTATGAACTTCACTGTGTTTTGCCATTCACCCGTAAAGTTGGCTTGTAAAGTTTTTCTTGGCCAAAAAGTTTTGCCTTAATATGTTGTATTTGGGACAGTCTTGGAGGACGTGATCTGTTGTCTCATGTGCCAATCCATATGTGCATATGTCTGATTCGCCGATTTTAAATTGTGTGTACATGTGGCTGCGAAGTCGACTGTGCCCTGTTCTAAGGCGTTGAATTATGACCTGCTCTGGTCTGTCCATAATATGGTAATCGCCTGCTCATTTCCCAACACACCAGCATGACCTGGAGAAAAAATCCAGAGGAGGCTAACCACCCTGGACCTCTGAAGTGATGCCACTCGGCACGAAGCATGCCTGTCGCCACCTTAGTCCTACTGTCTAGGGAAGTTAGGGTTAGGGTTAGTTTTAGTCGCTGTTCATTGAACACTAATTCTAAAACACTTCTTCGTAGTCCATGCCGTGTGAAGTTGGTAGTCATGTCTATTCACAACCTTCTGTCTCGTGTACTTTCAATCAAGTCTGATACATGTGATCTTTCATGCCATGATGTTACACTGTCCAGCATGTTTTCTCTATCTCCATCTGCCTCTCATTCCCTCCAACTTTCCTACTGTCACGAGGTACTCAAGTTTACTCTTTTTTATCACATGACTTAATGGTGATGATTAGGAGGAGGAGGAGGATGGTGGTAGTTTTTTTTTAAAACTGCATTTTTTTTTTTTTTTTTTTTTGCAGTCGTTGATTAGGACTTTATTATTGTCATCATCATCATCATCATCATCACCACAACCATCATTATTATAATGTTACTGACAAAGTCCTATTTTTATTGGTAACAATGTTGCTGTTATGTTGTTCGTAGTGTTGTTAATAATATGTCTTTACTGCTGCTGCATCGTTTTTACTGTTTATTTATTCATTGGTGTTGCATTTAAACAAAAAAATTAGCAGCTTTGTTTTTTTCCTCCCAGTATATCTACAAACTTATAAATAATAATATAGTTGTATCATTTTTAAATTTTTTAAAGGATTCACTTATTTGCATTATTTAAGTTAACTATTGTTGTAGTATGAACCTGACGAGATACAGCGAAATATGCCGGGCAATAAATTGTGCAAACTATCGTTTGGGTTTTCTTTGTTTAAATTTACAACGGGAAACATTGCTTTGATTTTTTATATAGAAAAAAGGAGGCAGAGAGTATTGGGGGGGGGGGGAGGGGGGGGGGTGAGTACGTTGACGACAAATTTCATGTAGTGCTCAATTTGCCACTCGTTATTGTTTTCTAGAGAAAGTGACCCTTTTCCTTTTCCAATCCCTGAAGTGTTCGAATCTTTCGTCTTATTTTCATATCTTTACTGTGGCTAAACTCAAATTAATTCTTTTATTTTCAGACGTATCATCATTATCAAGTACCTTGCTGACTGAGAGGGAGATCTTGTCTCTTCGTAACCTGCGATCCTTAACGGCTTGTCATTTAATTTCCTGACACCCCTTTGCACCCTAACAAAATGCTGTTAGGAGAGGGAAAAAAAATAGAAGAGCGAAAATGGCATATCCGTTCAGCAAATGCAGCTTGGTCAAAGGTTTAGCTTCCGGGTGACACCTACACTGCCACATCAACATGGAAGCCGTCTTCGGAATCCCGTATGCTGTCCTGGAATGCCCAAATTTGAAGTTGAAGAAGCCGTCATGGATCCGACAGCCTTCAGCAATGGTTGTTTTTGCCATTGTCTTGTTGTCTTACTTTCTTGTAACTGGAGGTAAGGGCGTACCTTTACTAGTAACGGTGAATAAATAATCATAAGAACTTTAGGTTAGGCTGCTGACTGATTCCTAGCCTGACCTTACTTAATAAACAGTTGTGAGTTTGCAAACTTTGCCGAAACATTGAGAATCCTCCCAGTGTGCGTTCCGGGGCCCCATTCATTGTGTTGAAAAAAGAATAGACCCATTGATTTTCCCCCAAAAGTATGAGTCGACTTACCAGGAGCTTCCAAAGGAAACTTCGATTCGAAGTCGGAGTGCATCTCAGTCATCTCTGCCTGAGAGGCAAGAACTCAAGGAACCAAGAAGACTCAAGGACTGCATTCATTGCATACATTATTACAAATAAGCCAGATCTGTAAAGTAAAAAGGATGTACACGAAACACTGAGGTTCTGGAACATGACAACACCCAGAACTTTTTGCTAAAGTTTACAGCTAGTGAACATAAAGTTAAAGAAGATGAGAATATTTGGCACTCTTCCGAATACCGGTCCCAAATTATTCACTGCCGAAAAACATCCCTCAGGAGGTTATGTAGTAAAACCGTTTAGGCCATCATGATCAGTTACCACTTGTGCCGTTATTGCTCGCTGGATATCAATGTTTAGATGTTAAGTTAAGCGCCGTGGGAAGGAATCGTTTTCGATCCATAGAAGCGACGTGGAAAAAAATAGATTTAGATCCATTGTTTAAGCGGCTTGGGTAGGAATAGAGTTCGATCCATTGAAGCGACGTGAATGATTTTTGATCCATTGTTTACATTACCCATTACTGCCCTTGCGGGGGTCCAGGGCCAAATATTTTAGGGGAAAGAAAAAATAGATCCACTGCCACATAAAAGTTGTAAAAGGCGACTAATTAGGACTGCTGAAATCAGTTGCTTTGGGACAAAGGGCGCAGATATCACAGCCTAGCTGTAAACCACAACACAACGTGAGAACCATTCTTTCAAGGGCGAACGACCCTACCCGTGACATTATCATTGAGCATCTCGCCGCCGCTATCGCAGCCTAGCTGTGAACCACAAGAACAAACGAAAGTCGCATATTTCGCAGCCTAGCTGTAAACCACAACACAACGTGCCAACCGCCCTGTTAAGGGTTAAAAAATGACCTCTTGAGGCCCTGAATAGAATTTTTTAACGGTGAATAATTTGGGACCGGTATTCGGAAGAGTGCCGAATATTTATTCTAATCATGAACAGACGTGACCGTGACCTGCCTGAAAGTGAAAGAGAAAGCCAGTGTGGTGTCCTCTTACCGATTTCTTTTTCTAATTTGTTTCAGCTGTCCTCTGAATAACAGTCCTAACTTACTAAGGCCGGAAATATAACCTAACAGGGCCTCAGTCACATGTAAATTGCAGACCTCTTTCCGGCGACTTCACCGCCACCACCGAGAGTATCCGCCGCTACACGCAGAGCGAAGGGGGGCTAAACTAGATGGCTAGGACTTACAAGCAGCATCTACCACATCTCCTACAGCTTCCTTCATTTTATTTGCTCATGAGTCCCTCCCATCTAGTTTAGCCCCGCATGTAGCAGTGCAGGGATACCCTTGGTGGTAGCAGTATAGTCGCCGAAAAGAGGTCTGCAATTTACATATGATTGAGGCCCTGTTAGGGTATATTTTCGACCTCAAAAATTTGGGACCGTTATTGAGAGGATAGCCTTTGTTTCTAATACCCAAAATGTCTGCTTCAGTATCATTTGTCCACCTTCATTATGGTCAACCCCTGCCTTTTTTAATTAGGAATCATGCCTGCCATAAAAGAACAATTTTAGTTAGTCGTAGTTTCCAGTGACTGTCGTGCAGATGGTTCACCCCACAACTGATTCTTTCCTGTGCCAGTGGAAATCATACAAACCATTGTGTGTGTGCTGAGTGATTATTTGAGCATGATCTGGTGGGTCGAGGCAGGCTGGTTACACAGACAGTGGCTTGAGTCATTGCAGAATTCTCCTGTGTGTGCAGTTACTTTCATAGTCATCCCAGGGCGTGCAAGCATTGTTGGTAATGAGAGAGCTGATAGACTGGCAGGTGCTGCATCAATTGAACATGGCCGCCCATAGTCACGCAGACATTGTCATTTAGAGAGAAAAAAGACAGAGGCAGGAGAGATAGGACGTTCTGAGGATTTTGAAAGCAACGTGTCCATATCACTGCTAAGAATTTCGTGAATTGGGAGTAAAGATTGGCACAGCCAAGCATGAGAAGCACACTGGACGCACACAAAGCTTCTTGTTAACCAACATAGGACTGGTGCTATTAACTGCACAGCGCTGATGAATATGTTGAGAGGGAAATCTGTGTGCCTATGGATGTGTCCGGAGTGCTGTGAAGATAATCTCATAACCCATACAAACCATCCTTCACTGTCCCATTCCTATTAAGAAAACATCAGTCCTAGCTCACTGAGTGCCAACACTAACAGACACCGAAGAGGATTGCAGCCCCCTCGCCCCCTTCCCCGTTGTTGAAAGAAGTAAATCATAAAAGCCAACTTTGCCTACACTGTACTGTATAAGTACACTTTGTGTATACACATCAATATTGAGAGAGACAGAGTGATAATAGAATGAGTGCATCAATATTGAGAGAGACAGAGTGATAATAGAATGAGTGCATCAATATTGAGAGAGACAGAGTGATAATAGAATGAGTGCATCAATATTGAGAGAGACAGAGTGATAATAGAATGAGTGCATCAATATTGAGAGAGACAGAGTGATAATAGAATGAGTGCATCAATATTGAGAGAGACAGAGTGATAATAGAATGAGTGCATCAATATTGAGAGAGACAGAGGGATAATAGAATGAGTGCATCAATATTGAGAGAGACAGAGTGATAATAGAATGAGTGCATCAATATTGAGAGAGACAGAGTGATAATAGAATGAGTGCATCAATATTGAGAGAGACAGAGTGATAATAGAATGAGTGCATTAATATTGAGAGAGACAGAGTGATAATAGAATGAGTGTGATTCTAACATGAAAGTATGAATACTAATGTCTCAATGAATATCTTCTGATTATTAACTAGCATTAATATTGAGTAAGGGGGCAGGAGCTGAGACTTGGGCAAGGTTGCAGTACTTGTAGTACCCGAGAACAGCGCCAAGCGTTTGCTCGCCTTTTAGCGTGGTAAAAGGGATTTACACAAACTGAAGAGATAGCTTTGGGAATATCCTTCATCCTCATATTGTCATTGTACAGCCTGTAGAATAAAGTATATCATTGATGTTTCAATGGCCCCACTAGTATTTGATTGAAGTGGGCCTCAAGTGATCATAAATCCCAAGATGCTTGTTTATTAATTAAACAATCACCTATTTCTCAATATACAATCATACCAAACAATACAAATTGACCACTTGCTATTTGTGGTGCAGTTGTGGTTATGTTATTGCAGTCAGTGTCACTGTACATCAAGCATTCCTGTAAGGGCTCAGTCCCCTGCTGCAGCAGCCACTCTAAGGTACCCCTGCTGATTGTTCCTATTAGAAGTTAGTTATAATGTTTCCTGTCCTGACCTCGAAGAGGCATAGGTGTGCTTCACCAAGTATTCCTTTTAGATCACACCATGATCCGTAGTGTTTAACAAAATTTCTGTAAAATCCCAGATATGTGTATATTACATAATGTAGAGATGTATCAAATGTATGTTTATGTTACCACTGGTTTTATATATGTGTGTTTTCCACAGGTATCATCTATGATGTTATTGTGGAGCCTCCAAGTATAGGATCGACCACCGACGAGAGGGGCAATTCTAAACCGGTGTGTGACTTTGGCCTGTCTGTTTTTGCATGTGTATACCTGGAATGTCCGCTGTAGTGTAGAAGCCTGAGGCTCATCTGCGGGACAGGAGTTCATGGGGGTCAAATCCACATTGAGCCAGTTTTTTTTCTTTAGAATGACATTCTTATCTAGGTCATCCTAGCCTGACATGTGCACCAGGTCATGTCCTGGGAAGTAAAGATGGCTGGTGTGTTGTTGACCACATCGCCCACCGAGTGTCAGTTTATAAAATATAGGTCCATCCCTATATACCCATGCGCCTAAGAGCATGGATAAGGGTCCTTCACTTATACCTGGCATGACTGTTGCTTTTTCTTCTTTTGCGTTCATCCGAAGATGTAATTGCGTTGTGTCCGTTTACAGCATGGCTGCGATATTTGCACCTTTCGGCCTACACGTCCAACTTCTGCGGGCATTTGTTGACTGGGTTAGCCTTCTCAGTGACTGTTTCGATATGAACTCCTTAGTAAATAGTGAAGAACCATTTCCCACGCCTTTAGGCATACAGGGCTGACCTATATTTTAAAGACCAATCGGCACAAGAGGGTGATGTGGTCAGCATCACACCTGTCATCTTTACTACCTTGGACTGCACCCGGTACCCAATCAAGGCTGGGTCGACCTGGGGGCCAAGGTTATATTTTTTAAATGTCCGGCTCCGCTTGAGAGTGAACCCACGACCTTCCAATCTGCAGGCAAGCGTTCAGCTGCTCCACCACGGTGACTCCAACTCATTAGTTAATAATTGTAAATATATTTTTCAAAGCTCTGTCTGCCAGTAAAAAATGAGCTGATGAGCATTAAAAAAAAAGAAAGAAACATTTTGACAGGAATGACTTTGTAGACAAGTGGTCTCCGACCTTTTTCAGGTAGCAGGAACCCCCCCCCCCCCCCCCCTAATAGATATGGCCGGACCCTCCCTCCTCCTTGGGTATATGGCAGGACCCCCTCCCCCGTGAGTATATGGCAAGGAAACCCCTTCCCCCTTGATTATATGGCAAGACCCCCCACCTCCCTTGAGCATATGGCAGGATACCCACAAACCCTTGAGTATATTGCAGGAAACCCCCCCCCCCCCCCTCCTCCCCTTGAGTATTTGGCAGAAACACCCCCCCCCCCCCTTCTCTTTGAGTATATGGCAAGCCCTCACACCTTTCCTTGAAATTATGGCAAGATCCCCCCAACCCTCTTCCCCTAACTACCTTAAGTAGTTGGCAAACCCCTGCACCCCCAATTAAATATATGTGGCAAGACCCCCACACCCCCATTAAATGTATATGGCAAGACCCCCACACCCCACTTTACAAAATGGGAATGTGTTCTTAATCATAATTAAGTGCAGATGATAAATTATATTTTTAATCGTAGATGCGCAACCTGCTCATGAAGACAAAAAACATCCATAGATTTTTTTAAATAAATAGATTCTAAAAATATTTCATTTGTAATTACATTATAAATATGTTAGTATGACGGATTATTACAAATACAAATGAACGACTCATTTAAAAAAAATTACTTGGCAGAGGAAAGGCAAGAAATACATTTAATCAGAATGCTACTGGCACCATTGGTATTGTAACTTTGCACTGGCTGCTTAAGATGGGGACGGAAATATCCCAAGGACTGTTCTGTCATTTCTTGACTCAGCTCTGCAATCATCTAATGTCTCTTATTGTGTTTTTTCCAGGTCGCCTTTATGCCATACAGGGTTAATGGGCAGTACATCATGGAGGGTCTCGCTTCCAGTTTTCTCTTCACCCTGGGAGGCCTGGGCTTTGTTATACTCGACCAGACCAACAAGCCACTAATGCCCAAGCTAAATCGCATCTTGCTGATCTGTGTGGGAGCCGGCGCTGTTGTCATTGCCTTCTTTACTTGTAGAGTCTTCATGAAGATTAAATTACCGTAAGTAGAGTTGCAACTTGTACTGGGACAACTATCTTTCCTGTTGACACACAAGCAGATACCTGGGAGTACTAAAGTGAATCTTATCAGAACTATTTTTTGGCCAACACTATGCTATCAGTGCCAAACATGGACACTCACATCCTCTAATGAACGTAAAACTGTGAGAACAGAAATGAAATGCCTTAGAAGAGCTGCAGGAGTTTCAAGGAAAGATAAGAGTACGAAACCAGATGAATGTTAGGAATAAAGCCAGTCTTACAAGTCATCAAAGAACAACAAATGAAGTGGTTTGGACACCTAACAAAAATGCCCTGGTACTATCTGCCACAGCAGGACACAATGAAGGGTTACACCAGGTTTAGAGCGATTGGAAGACCTCATAAAAGATGAAGGCATAAAGAACAGCCTTACAGAAATGAACATCAATCTTAATAGTGCCCTTGACAGAGCTCATCAGCTGTTACATCCCCTCACCCCCACCCCTTGACACTTCACTGAGGTGGAAGAGAAGAAGTTGAAGAGTTGAAACTTGTTTACAGGATGTCCAATAATTTCATTCGTAGGAGAGATAAACTTTTTTTTTTTAATGAAAACTTTTCATTTATATAGTATGCTCTACATGACTACCATTGTTTAGAAAACAGTTTGATGTGTGACCTCCACCACTGAAGAACATGTATAACCACAGCTAGAGTAATGATTGTAATCTCATTGGTAATGTGTTTATTTTGTCCTATGTATAGAAACTCATAGGACACTCTGAAGCTGTTTGTACTAGTGCTGGAACCCACACGGTCAGAGAGAATATCTTTGTCATCACTCAGCAGATTCCTTACAGAACATGGCTCTAGTCACGGCACGCCTGAAAGTCTTCCCGTCTCCAGCCCTTGTGCTTTTATAGCCGATGCATGTTTAGTGTGTTCTATCCACGTTTAGGGATGTTGGCCTCTGTCCAGATTTTCAGAACCTGCCCTTCACCGCCGTTTTTTCCCCAAGCCATCATAACACTTAATGTGGTTAAAATAGCTCGACTTTCAGGACATGATGCTGGTTAATAGTCACTTCTCATCGATGTTCAGATCATGTAGGAAGGACATTGAGGTTCTTCGTCTTGGAATAGGGCAGACAAACAAACACAAGGCAGCTAGAGAGCAAATTTACAGAGGACATGAAATGAGCTTCCTGTGGCAACAAGATGGATGACTTGGTGTGATTTTGTTGATGGCCTATCATCCACTATAAAGGGCAGACAACTTTGATTTGTATGGTTTTTTTAATGAAAGTGAAGTTACTGGGTCACTTGTTCAATACATTTACTTGTAGGCTGCTTGTGATGGTTAATATGCTGTTGAGTGAAACCTACCCAGATCAGAAGAAAGTAACCTTTGGATATTTTCTCCAGGTTGTGCTGGTGTGTTGGGAAATGGACAAGCAGAGAGACTGGCCGGTTTTTGCACTAGTTGGTGGTGAATTGAAGCATGACAAGCTAGATGTTGTTAGGTTGCTTTGGGAGCCAGGAAACAGTGGAGAGGCACAAATAGATCATGGCGGTCTGAAGAGAATGGTGCTGCGAAGTGTAACTAGGTGATCTGGCCAACATTCAAGGGAAAGGTGAGATGGGTGTACAGTCAGACTCTTACTGGTACCACCAGACTTGGAACTTTGCTGCTAAAGATGGTACTTGAGCACTTATGGTAATTTTGCTAATGCTGTGATGTCAATTCTCAATACAACTTTCATTTATTAAATTTTATAGGATTGCAGAAATAACTTTGTTCTTATTTAATTTTTGCAGGGGGTACATGCAGTAAGGAGCTAGCTGTCCAGCAGAGAAATGTCTTTGGTGTTTTTATTGTTGTGTGACTGTGTTGCCTGTTTGGACAACTGTTTTCATTTGCCTGTTTGGACAACTGTTTCCATATAGTAGCAAGTGTATTTTTCATTTGATGTTAGTTTGCACAGGAGTGTCATCTGCTAAGAGTGACATTTTAATTGGTCTATACGCTAGAAACATAGATGTATGGGTGACTCTCCAAAACACTATCATCTGCCATTGTGTTAATCAATCAGAATGTCAGCAACATCTCCCCCTAATATACCAAATACTGGCAAGTCAAAATATCTGGAAGTTGGATTTAATTGCAGAACTGTACCTTAAACTGTGGTTGTGCATCAAGTATCTGCTCATATAAACAGCACTTGTATGTTTGTATTGGTTTCACCATATCGATCTTAACACTACTCTATCCTTTATCTCTCACAGGAGTGGCCTCTTAAGGCAGGGGTTACAGTGTTATCATTCATCACCTTTCTTATATGTCTAACACTTTGGCCATGTAGGCATGTTTGGAAATGAGCAGGCAGATAGCTTGGCTGGACTGGCGCCCTCTTGAGGGTGTAGTGCAACTGTACAAGGCAGAGGTGATTGCTCACCTGTGGGACAAGGTTTTAAGTAAAATGGAAGATATTGAAAACCTGTAGCTGGGGAACCTAATGCAGCATTAGAGTATCTGCTAGATCTTGTCATCACTTGAGGCTTGTGGTAAAGGCAAGCTTAAGTTGATTCAAGAGCCGACATCACAGCACTCGGGGCATTCCCAAAAGGGCTCCATCTTCAGCTGCAAGTGCAGAGTTCCGATACTAGTGGTGCCAGTAGCATTCTGATTATAATTCTGTCATGCCTTTCCTGAGCGTCCAGTATCGGCGCAGATCCCCTCATCACTCACTGCTGCATCCATTTGCTCCTCCGTACATGTTGTCCCACAAGACCCTAACCACATCTGCCTTATCATGCATCAATTTTCCACCAAGTTGTGCAGAGTCAGCCAGTCTCTCAACCTGTTCATTTCCCAACACACTGTCAAAACGAAAATTTCACTAGATAACTTGTATCATCAGTATAGAGATGTTGCTGGCTGTTAAGAAGGGAGATGAAGCCGATCTAGTCTTTTCCTGAATGTGTGTTGCTATATTGTTACCCAAATGAAATTCCAATCAACATCTAAAAAAAAATATATGTTTGCTAGATAGTCATATAAGATTGTGTGAATGCAGCAGTCTAGTTGTTCGCTTGTATACATTTGTCTGGATAATGTGTAGTTGTGATTTTTTTTTCATCAACCATTAAAAGCACAAGATCTTTATCTCCTAAGACATTTAGTCATCATCAAAACAGGAATCACATTTACTACCAGTGAGAATGGGGTTGTTTTAATTACTTATGTAGTTGTTGTGTGACAAGTTTTAATATGTCACTGAAATAAATATGCTTGTTATAAAGTTTCCCAGCATTCTTTTGTTCATTAAGGCAGGTTGGTTGGAAGATTGGCTGCCAGGTTGGTTACAATATTGGCTGCCAGGTTAGTCAGAAGATTGGCTGCCAGGTTGGTTGAAAGATTGGCTGCCAGGTTGGTTGGAATATTGGCTGCCAGGTTAGTCAGAAGATTGGCTGCCAGGTTGGTTGAAAGATTGGCTGCCAGGTTGGTTGGAATATTGGCTGCCAGGTTAGTTGGAAGTTTGGAACACACACATGAAGAAAAAATAAAATGTTTCAAAGGCAACCTTGTCAGCTTTTCATGTACCGCATTTAAAAGTGCTAAATATATTGTTTGTGGATGAACCCTGCTTCTGAAACGTCTGAATCGGGTTATCACAGTTTCAGCTTCAGAGCAAGCAAGTCATCAAATAGTTACTCCGTTCCCATGCCAACAAAAAGCACACCGCCTGTTGTAAAAAAAAAATTGACATATAGTAATTGCACATGCAATGAATCACGTAAGGCACCACAAGTTCTTTGGCAACAGGCCACTCGCCATTTTCTGATTCTACAGTTCACAACATGAACCACGTTGAAAAGTCACTGTCCCTAACAAGCATGTCGTAAGAGTCGTCTGATTAGGGCGTTTCCTTCGTAGTGGGAGTGCCTCTACCCTAAGAGGCCAGGAACCAAAAGTATTGCACACAAATAAGTGAGACTTGTAAAAATTAATGTGCTCGCAAAATTCCTGTTCTGGAACCATCCTAAAGGCTTTCTGTCGAAGTTTTTCTATCATTTCATATTTGTTGCATTCTTTTCTCTTCTTCTTTGTTAACCAGGTGTAAGCTCCGGAGGAAAGTTCTGATTTGACTTTGGCTTTGTGCCAGGGCCTGCGTTTTGCGTGTACATCTGTTTCACTTGCTTATTTGTGTGCAGTTGGTTGTTCCTTATCGGTCAGGCAAATGCAGTGTGACATCAAAGGAAGTCCCCAGTTAGTCAACTCCTGCGACATGCTTGTTGGGGAGGCAGTTTGTCTATTATTTTCTTCGCCACACTGAGGCCTCGGAACACAATGGGGAGCATTTTCTTCTTCAAAAAACCACATTAGTATGCCAAATAAGACTTGCAGTGACCATCCCAAGCTGAATAAGCAAAAGCATTGCCATCACCTAGAATCATTCACGTATACATAGTATGAGGAGTAGTAGATAGAGGTAGCGGGTAGTTAGCATCTTATGGAAATTTCTCCTGGCCTTGCACAGGGAAATAAACAAGGAGACAGGCTGCTGGCTCTTAGTGAAACATGGATGCATAACAAGCTAAATGTTATCAAACCCTTTGGTTTCATGAATAGTGGGGAGATACAAACGTATCATCACAGTCTCAAGAAAATGGTGAGACAGGACGTGACGAGGGGAACTGACAGTCACATACCGCTCGTGTCATGTGCCTGATTTAAGGATTTCTCCTTAAGAACCAACAGCACTCTGAAATAATAATGTTGAGGCGTTGGCTCGTATTGGTCTAAGGGAGATCCCGTGGCCAATATACGCCCAACTTATTTCAGGAGTAGGGCAACTCAAGCTGTAGCACCACAGAATATCTAATATTCCTAGGCACACTTGGCTGGACACCCCCACTACTATAAAAAGATAGCCCCCAGGTTATGATAGTATATTATCATAGCCATGTTAACACAGATTACACTTATTAATCACATCAATATAAACTAGACAGTTAGAATGGTGAAACAGGGACACCCAAGTCCGCCATGAAAATTTCTGAAAAAAGGTTGTAATAATTTCAATATATATATAAATCTCAGGACAATCAAGATGGTTTTCAGTGGAAGGAGTTCATGACTTAATGTCACAGCAATGATGTTGAAACAGCCAGAGTATATCCTGAACAAGTATATGTTTCATCATGGTGAACCAAAGGTGAGCGTGGACAGAGAGCATGTAGGTCATCCTTGATGTACTTAACCCAACTGGTTTGTCTCTGCTCCCCTCAGTCCATGGTGACTTGAACCGGCTGACTCAATAGATTGCTTTTCTCTCTGGTTGATTTGGAACCTACTGATCGTCTTACAGATGAGGACAAAGGAACTTCACTGGAGCCCAACACAGCTCCTGAGGAAGACTCACTTGGATTGATGACACGGGTGGCCTGCAATAATGTCTTTCAGCCACTGGAACTCACACACAAGCTCCTGAAGAAGGATTCCTTCGATTGATGACACAGGTGGCCTGCAAAACTGTCACTCAGCCACTGGAACTCACACACAAACTCCTGCCATGTTGATGTTCTGTCAACATTGGGTAGGATTGGTAATAGGAATGGTATGGGTTAGTGATTGCTGGTTATGGGTTGGTGATTGCTGGTTATTGGTTTGTGATTGCTGGTTATGGACTGTGATTCATCTGCCTGACTTCTAAGGAGATTTCATCCTGTCAGGAAAAAAAAAACAGAATTAGTAATCATCTTAAGATGCACACACCAGCTCAACTTATCTTCTGCTACCCTTCTAGTCACTCAGAGTATACTTTCAAGAATAGGAGACCATGTCCCCTTACATTACTCTGTCTGTAAGTCAGTAACCAGATAGAAGATAAGGTACATAGTGGAAATAGTTAGATATCACTACACATAGCACATCCTCTCTCCACCTTCCCATTTGCACCCGCAGACACACATTCTATCCCGTTCTTACATGAATATTTTTAATCTCTATCCCTGCCGACTACACACCCCATGTTGTCGTACTAAAGTTAACCTTTGACTCAGAGCGCCTAGCTCTGACGTCACCGCCTCCAACCGAATGCAAGCTGACCCCGTTTACAAATGTCTGTTAGTCGATATAAATCCGTTGTTTGCTTAGAGAATAATTAACTTGCTGGGTTTATTATTTTTACAATGGTGTGTTATGTATGGCACAAGCTAGTTAGCATGTGAAGGAAAAGGTTTGATTTAGGGCCTGGAATGACTGGATATCAAGAACGCCCCAGTTCTGTGCGATCACACAGCTGAATCTTCCCTCCCTGCAGCAGTGGCCAACTTTAAAGAGACATATATAATGGTACTCGTAAACTATAATCAACTTACCCAAGCTCAGGAATCCTTCAAGGATTAACTGGTACTTTGAAAGCGTCAAAGTTGAGGAGCGAATTACAAAGTCTTCCGACACCTCAGAAGTTTGGCACAAGAATGCCCGCCCCAAACTAAACTTGGCGTCTCTGGGAAAGAAGTCCCTGTATTCGTGTCCAAGGAGTAAAAAGGCTTACAGGAATTTCTGAATTATACACAAGAAATATTCAGCCCACAGCTGCAAGTTTAAAAATGTAGACTTCTCAAAACAACTAGAGGGTCTAGAAATGATTATTTCACCAGATAGAGGTATATATCAATATAAGGGAATATACCCCCCCCCCCCCCCTTAGGGAAGTCAGCGTCACGACTCGTCCACAGTGTAGGGTTGGCTGTACACTTCACGACACTGACCGACACTCTGGAGAAAAGCAAGACGGATATACGACACGTCCTTATCCGCATCAT